ATCTCCTATTCCTTCTCCCCCTCCTCCTCCTCCTCTCTCTTTCTCTCTCTTTTTTAAAAAGCTGAGATTCAGAAAGAGATTAAGCAATTTGCCACGGTTATGTAATTTGTAAGCATGTTATATACATCAGCAGGAAGAACCCAGTAAGAGTGGAAAGATTGAAAAACTAAAAAGTCCATGTGCTAGAAATTTGATATGTGTATGATTATGTGGTCTGGTCATGTAATAGCTAATCTTTACTGAGCACTTACTATGTGCCAAGCACTGAATTAAGCACTTTGCCAAAGTTATCCCATTTTATTCCCACAATAACCCTATGAGGTTGGTACTGTTATCACCTTCTTTTAACAGATGTGAACATTGAATCACAGGTTCAATGATTTGCTCAAGGCCACATAGTTATTGTGTGCTAGATCTTTCAGAGCCTTCAAATGACCCTTTAGAAGAGGAAACTGAGGCTGAGGGAGGTGAAGTCATTTGCCTAAGAGCCCATATCTAGTGAGGATTGGACCTGTAATGCAAACCTAGGCTCTGTTTGGTACCATAACCATGCCCTTAATCACTACACTGTCATGAATGGAAGCTATTACAATAGAGTATATGTGCATATTTTTCTAGGTCCAGCTCTGTAAGACAAAAATGTTCCTCTTGAATTTAGTTGATAGTACTAATTGCCCTTATTCCATAGAATTGATACAGTATGTACTTCCTTGTAATGAACCACACAGTATAATGCAACCTGGGTATTTGTACATAGTCCCATGGTGAAAGCAGAGACTAAAAAAACAGAGCTAGTCAGGCGAGTAGCAACAGTTGAGTTCTCATGTGACTTTTTCAGGTGGCTTTTTCAGCAGCCATGCTTCATCCCTCCATGCAGAGAATACTCTGAATGAGAAAGCTCCTGGCTCAGGTGTCCTTCCTCCTTCCAGCCTCAGATTTGCTAACAAGCTGTTCTGATGCCACTAGTCCAAGTTTGTAGAATGTAAATGTTATCCTAGATGTGAAATATAATAGAGCAAGCAGTATAGGGCTGGGGAGAACAGCCGAATTGCTATCCTTTCAGGAATGACTGGCTCTCCAGTGGGAACAGCACGTGGATCAGGGAGAAGTGTATTATTGTAATGCCAAAATCCCCACTTCTGTACTCGCTTGTCACTGCCAGAGTTTTCATTTGGTGATTGGTTTTTGAAATATAGTTTGATATTTATTAGTCTTCATATTTGGAATAGTATTAATGTTTAATCAGATCATTATCATTCTTTATTCAACAATGCAATTTACCAAGTTTTGATGTTTTCTTAACTTTGGTTCTATTATACCCAAGGACCAGCTTGGGTGTGTGTGTGTGTGTGTGTGTGTGTGCATGCACATGTGTGTGTGAGTTCTATCTGATTTGATAAGTCCCCTTCTAGGTCTATTTTTCTGTGATCAATAGGTTAATGGAGAGGGAATGAATAAAAATGTGCTATATAATAAACCATGTGAGAAGGCATACTTTCATTCTATATATACCTACTGAGTATTGCTATGTATCAGGAGCTGCATGAACTAAAAAGCTGTGTAAGATGCAGTCCCTGCCATCAAAGAGCTTATTCTACATTTCTTCCACTCAACAAGTGATAATACTACCTGAGTTCCTAATCCCTTGATAGTTCCCATGCTTGGCTGATTTGTCTTTTATTAGCAATGCAGCCTAGGAAGATCTTTAATCTCAACAGAGTGTATTTAAATTTAAGATTTTGACAGCCAGAAATAAGATAATAATAATTACAATCTTGAGAATAGTAAATTGAGAAGGGAGAGAGGCAAGTGGGGACACAGATTTCCAGGAGGTGATAGGTTCTGGACAAAGTTGGGACATTTGCATGGCTCAGTGAAAAGGGAATATAACTTCAAGAGTGAACTTAATATTTCAACTATAAGTGTCAGTTCTTTGGTGATAGGTGGGGAGAAAGGCTTATGGGAGAACGTAAAAGGAATAGATTGTATTCACTACCTTTCTTCCACATCAAAAGTTCTTTTTGATTTGACTGTGAATTCTGGGAGAGCAAGAGGCCCTGCTGGTGGATTGAGGGGAAAGAGGAAGACAGATTCCTGGTTTTCCAAAGAGCAGAGCAAACTGAAGGGAAAATGGAAAATCAGAAAGCCTTAACAACAACTGCATGACAATAACTCCCTTTTCTCTGGAAAAATATATGCATAAAATATTCAACTGACGTTAAAGATTAATGATGAATTAATGAAAACACGCAAAGCACTTTATTTACGTAGGAAGTTTTTTTCCCCTTTAGAAAATATGCTGTTTTGGAGTGCCTGGCTAGTTCAGTTGGTGGAGCATGTGACTCTTGATCTCAGGGTCATGAGTTCAGCCCCCACATTGGGAATGGAGCCTACTTAAAAAAAAGAAAAAAGAAAAAATGCTGTTTTAAAACAGAAAGTAGTGTAGGTTTCAGGAGGGATGAGTACTATGAGGATAAATGGAAGTGACTTTCAAGTGAGTCTCTTCTGTCACCTCCTGCCAACTCACTGTGGTGAAAAGCGTCCAAATTCAAGAATTTCATGATTGAATGGATTGGTAGGTATCAGATACTTCCAGTGGGATCCAGCTTTCCCATCACCCCTCCTCCATACATGTGTGGTAAGGATGAGGAAAATGAAAGTCATTTCCACCTGATTCTGACACCATGTGTCTCCCTTCTCCACTTGGGGGCTCTGATGGGGAAAGACAGTACCTTCCACCTGGCATTGCCTCTCAGTATCTTTGTGAACTCCCTTGGGCTATTATGTTGGTTGGTACTTTGGCTTCTTTGGCTCCCAGCACCAGCTGATGCACTGAATTGAGTCCCAGTTGGGCAGGCTCTATTGCTTAGTGCTGTAGCTGTCTCTAGGGCATTGTTCTTGAGACTTCCAACAGGGCAGATTTGTGCAGTTGGCCCATCTGGACAAGATCTATAACAAGTAGAGCTCTGTGCAGTAAGCTCATCTCCATAGTCCACCCCCCACTACCCCCGCCTTCGGGCTGCAGCAGCCTGACACTCCAGCCCTGCCATGGAGAGTATCAAAGAGATACTCTCTGCTCCTTTCAAAGGGGTATTGCTTGTGGCCTCTCATTGATTGGCACTACCTAGGAAGAAATGGGAAAATAGGGACTCTCTGCCCTCTTAATCTCCTCCCTTAAGCCAGTCCTTTAGTTTTGAATCCAGTTGGCACCAGAGTTATAATTAATATCATCAGTAAGATTAACTTCTGGTCCAGCTGCCCTGGTCAGCCCAAATTCTCTCCTCAAAACCAAGAGACAGAACGAGAGGAGTATCTCAGTGAACAGAAAAGAGCAGATGAGCTCAATAAGAAAAAGAGTGAAAGAAAGAGGTGAGCTCTTGCTTTGACTATAGGATTTGCTTTGGTCATTGGATTTATTGACTTTCAATTTGGAACACCATTTTGAAGAAGAGAGGGAGGGAGGGGATGGGAGGAATGAAACAGAGAGAAAGAGAGAGAGAGAGAGAGAGAGAGAGAGAGAGAGAGAGAGAGAGATATTAGATTCACATAGGTACTTATTCTAGGTCCAGAGAAATGGACAAGATATTTAAGAGATCATTGTATCACCCATCTTCCAGCTGTTAGCCCTATACTTTAATCTTCCCTTTTTCAGTTCTTCATAGTTGTGTCATTTCAAAGGATTCAGTATACCAGACCCATGCTTCCCCATGTCCCATTGGTATTTCAGACCTGAAATGGGCTCTTTCACATCCTCTCTATTCTGACATTTCTGGTAGCTTCCACTGACTGCCACCCTTACTCACTGTGGAAGGAGAAGAAAAACAAGAGAAGGGTTAAGAAATAACTGCAACTTATGGGGCTTTAACTTCTACAACTACTACTCTGATGTTGGCCAAGTCAATGTTTGTCCAGGATCGGGGTCTTCTATATGCCTAGTTCCTTTCCAGGAAGCTTGAAGCCCACGTTATCCTGGACAAAGTTGAATGGCACTTTTATTTGCTCACTAAAAGAAGGTTAAAGAGCAAGTTGAAAATGAGGGATCCTGGGAAATAAAAAGACTTCAGAGAAAAAGAAACAAATGATAGCCCAGCCAACAAAAGATACTCTTAGGATATTTTCCATATTTTACTCCTTCCAGGTCCTACTACCTTGGATTTCACTTTTTTTTTTGAAGGTTTTCTAACATCACTAAGTTTCTTAAAGAGTAAGAATTTTTCTCTTTTTACACTCCTGAGCAGCCAAACATACCCTGCCACCATACTAGTTAGGGAATAAAACAAATATTTCTGAGACCTGGAAGTTCAGATGAATCTGGAAGGGTGGATTTTCTGAGAGTCCAAGATTCCTGACCACATTTCTGACAGTGTTGAACATCCTAGGAGATTTGAAGACCTCTCTGTTGAGTAATATAGCAATACCCTACCTCAGTGCAGCCCATGACTGTTCCCACCTTGCTGAGAGGTAGGGAACCTGTCACCCTGCCTTCTTCCCATAGTCAAGGACAAATGACTGGGTCACAAAAGGCAGCATTTGTGGATGAAAAAGACTCCCTATTTGAGCCTGTGGTAGGAGGGACAGAGGACAGAGCAAAGGCCAGGCTCTGGGTGGGAGGTAACAGCATGAAGAATGGTGCAGGTTAAGATAACAAATACCAGAATATAGTAGCAATGATCTGAAAATTCTCCACTGGAGAATTGGAAAACAGACAGGCTCCAGCAAGGGAAAAAGGTCATCCTGGACTCAGAAATATGGCCAAACCTTACTCTCATGAGAAATGGGATAGCATGGAGAATAACTGGATTCAAGCAGATAAGCCATCTTTCTAAGTACAGCCACCACTGGCACCATGCAGTGTAGACATGCATAGCTTTGGGATTGGCTGTTGAGGTTCCAGAAATGAACTCTCCAAGCTCCTGATGGAATCTAATGGAGGGGGAATCTCACACAGGAAGAAGCAGGAAGACAACAGCTGGACTTTCTAGCCCTTAGCCGTACCCTATTCACAGTGCCTGGTGGATATCTTCTGACAGTAGGACTTTATAGACAACCCAGTAGAAGATGTTGAAGATGAGGAAAGTGAAAGGGAAGACAGCCCGGGAGATGGTGTCAATCCTCTTGGCTTGCTCCACGTAAAGTTTCTGCATGGTTTCTCCCTCCCTTAGAAGAGGGGCTGGAGGTTGGGGGGTATAAATGTCAGAACTCTCCTTTGGACCTCCATCCCTTGCCTGCAGGCAGTGGCCTAGGCCATAGCCACGGAAATAGAAGCGACATTCTTGGATGATATCTTCCTCCTGAAATTGCATGGCAGAAAAGACAGAATTTGAGGTTATAGCTCTAAGGCAGAGGAATAGAGACCAGGCCACACACAAATATCTCATAGGTGATGCTATGCAGACAGGTAACTTGGTACACAGGACCACTGCATGCTTTTTATGGCCACAAAACTCATGAGATAGATGTATGCTCAGCAACTATTCATGGTACATATGGTATATTTTATGATTCCGTTTGCAGATAAACCCCAAGATGCCTTTTTAAAATGTATAACATCATTTAGAGCCATCTAAAACCCAGCGAAGTGCCAACCCACTGTGAGAAAGATATCTCAATGCCAAGTTATCTCTGACTGGTGATCAACAGAATAAACAGAACAATAAAACCTTTAGAATGCACAGTTAAGATATTTAGACTTGGTGAACTTGACTTTAATGACTTTCAAAAGCTGCAGGATTAATTCTCCTTCTATGTAGTATCTTTTAAAAAATTGTTTATCTCCATTCAAAGCTGAAAATTCCAAAAGTTTTAAATAACCTCGTTGGTCATCCAAGTTACGGTAAAGCTGATTACTCTATTGCAGATACATGTGCTTCTCTACAACTCAGCAGATTTTGACAAAGGGGTCAGTACATCTAGGGTAACATTTATTACCCAATACATATTCCATTTATGTAGAATATATGCATTATCATGAACACATTAGCATTGGGGAAATAAATTTTATATCAGCATTAAATAATGTAGCAGCTGCACAAAGTTCATTTATCCAATAGTCAGCGGATAACCTTAAGTAGCTACAATAGTTGGAAAGTGAGGTAAGTAAGGACAGAAAGAGAGATAGAGGGAAAGATAGAGACAGAGGAATAGGGAGAGGGAGAGATATAAAGAAGGAGACATAGAAATAAAAAGAGAAAGGACCAAAGCCCCTGAGCTATCAATAGAGAGAGCTTTACTCATATGAGAGCCCTACAGGCCCCTACTCACAGCCTATTTACTCTTAGCTTATATACAACCCAGACACACCTAATTTTGTCTACTTCTAAAGCACACACTGCCATTATAAATGATGGTTCACAGTCTGGAAAATAGAGGACAGCTAAGTACACACTAGAACCTAAAAATACTTCATTCAAATATGGTTACAATTTTTGCAAGTGTTGATGTTTACAGGAGTAGAAGCTTCAGCTATCTAGGAAATCACCTAAAGTGAAATGCCCCCTTGTGGGATGATACCAACTACCTTCTTGGTTTGCCTAGGACTGGGGGCTTCCTGAGACTCAGGACATTTAGTGCTAAAACAGAATAGTGTATACGTATACTGAATTGATACGCCATATATCTGTATATTTATATATGTATATATATACATGTATATATGTGTATATATATATGTATATATATAATGTGGATAAAGTAGGTTTTAAACACATTGTAGAATTAGAAGGACATCATAGGGTCTTTATAATGGGACCTTTGCAGCTATGGTAACACACTGAAAAGTGGCTTCATAGGTGAGATATTGGTGGGGTGGGTCCCAGTAGCCCTTGATTATTACTTCACTAGAAGGCTGAGTCTGTCGCTGGGCATCAGGAACAGGCAAGTTCAGGCCAGATATTTACCAACAGATTCCATCTCTTTCTGTTTCCTTTGGGCTCATAGGACAGACCTTGGGAAGGGCATTGGTCTTGTTCACTGCCATGTACCCAGCATGGTGCCTGGTATCCAGTAGGTACCCAGTAGATATCAGTTGAATGAATGAATGGACTGATGAGACATATGCTTCAGAATATAAGACAGGGAATGGCTTTGTTCTCATGAAGTTGGCATCCTCTTAGCGTCTCAAACTGAAGAGTCTACTCAGAAAAGAGTCTTAGTTACAAAGTGCTTGGCAGAAAAAATGATTATTCCTTGTCCCACCCATGCACAATGGCCTGATGCCCTTCATCCTCTAAAAAAAATGGCACTTTTGGCATAGGGAAGAATATAAGTCTGCCAACCAGAGAGCTTTGCCACCCAATCTCTGATTTTGCCAGTCTCTGTGAAGAGAGTTGTATATGTGTAGGCCAGAGGCAATTCACTACTGTGGCTTTGCTTTGACCCTGAGTGGCAGTAGGGCAGCCTTAGCAGTCTGCTCAAAATTACTTCCATAACCTTTCACCAAAGGCCGTGTCTCACCTCACCTGTATATTCTAGTTCATTTTTATACTTTTCCTACATGGCATTTGTGTTGGACCCATTTTGGAAATGAAGAACCAGAGGTAAACAAAATATCTTTCAAGTAATTGAAACATGAGGGAGGAAAAAAAATTTCCTCTTTTGCTTTCCATTTCAGGGTCCCTCACACCCCTAGTTCCCCACTGCTCATTCTTATCTCCTCAGCCTCTCAGCTCCTCAGCTAGAGGATAAAAGTATGGAATATATTTGTTTGCCAAAGACTCTGAAAAAGAAAGTTGAATCCACCTGCCGTTTTCTGTTTCTATAGATTCATTTACTTCTTTTCTCCAATCATAGTAAATATGTAAATTTTTACTATTTTACTATTTACTATAGTAAATCATAGTAAATCTAAAGGGAATTATTTGGAAAAAATTTACCAGGCTGAAAAAGAGCTATCCCTCATGGGACAAAATATATGACCTCTAGAGTAAGCTGCCCTTGATTCTTTTTGATTTTAACATATTGTACCACTTGCAGTTGGTGACAAAGATAAGTGGTCTGAAATCCAAGGGTTGGGGTCTTGGATAGGAGTATTATCTATTTAAGCCAAATTCTGAGGTGTGTTTGGGGAGGGGGGAGGGACAATGGAGACTTAAACACCACTTAGTGGCTTCCATGGCTATTGAAATAGAATATTTTTGTTGCAGGTATCTATAGGGGAGGACAGCTGGGCGCTAGAGAGTAAAGATATTCCAAAACCAAGTTGGGGAAGGAATGAACAATGTGAGAGGTAAGGTGTGGATATGGGAAAGAGTGATAGGTATTTAGTAATATGTATTGAAGTGAATGAAAAGAAGAGATTGGAGAGTGGGGGGAAGTGCTGGCAGAAGGAGAGAGACAAGCAGGGTTCTGGGACCAAGCCCCTGAGAGGACTTGGCAGTATTTTGAAATTTCTTCCATTTCTTAAGTTATTCTGCTGATAATGGCAAGGCCTCCTCTCTGTTTAGCTTGAAATACTGCCCTCTCCAATGAGCCTGCAAAGGTTGGTAGAATAGGTAACATGGTTGCTGTGTCCAGAGCCTAGTGCTAAGTCCTGTTGATGTTATAAAAAAAGAGAGTCAGACCCTTCCCTGTGAAGCTCATAGCCTAACTGGGAAGACAAAGCAGAAATGTAGGGAAAAGAAATTAAACTATTTTAGACAGTGACATGAAAAGAGACCACCATGCAGTGGAGATGGGTGGTTGAGGAGAGATTAGAGAACATGACTAAGCCTGGAGCTTGATGAACAGCTGGCTGACTCCTAAAATACTCCTAACTTCCTCTTGGCTAAGGGCTCCCTGAAAATCATATGGTTGCTCTCCCCTCCCCTAAGAGGCTCCTCTCAGACCAAAGACTCCAGCTTTTCTAGCTGGAACAGCACAGCCCAGAGAGAGGTTCTAGAAATAGATTAACTCTGCATAAACTTTTCCTGCCAGCTCAGTGGCCTCCAGGATTCCTGCTACAGTTCCACTGCAATGGTAATGGCTTTAGGAAACCCGAAAAGGGACATGGGCTAATGGCACAGGTTTTGATTTTCAGGTTTTATTTATATTAGTAATAAGCCCGGCCCACTTTTTGGCAGGATTCAGGAGCCTAAGTGGGGCCCAGGCCGTAGTTATAACTTTGTAATAATTGAGCACTGGTTATGACAGATTCCATTTGATGTCAGGATCAACATATATATGACCAGGAAGGGATAGGCTGTGGGCAATTGGGGGCTGGAGAGGTGCAGGGAAGGAGGTGGGACTAGTGTCAATCTGGGGTAGCTCTACAGTAATTGCAGCAGTACTCTGTTGCTAGGACACTCACAAAGGCAATTTAGCTGGCAAAAGGACACTGGAAATGTTTGGCAGCAGGTAGGCATTGAGAAGGCATCAAGATTAAAACCCCTATAAAGATAAGATTTTGGTAGCTGAAGTCAGGTTTGACACAGATAAAGAGGGGGTAGTGACAGTTACCTTAGAAAAGGGAGCATTCTCTTTTCTTTCCCTTCTGTCAAGTCTATATATTATTTTTCTAACACTCAGCATGCGATAGGAAAGGTTTTAAGCCTCCTGAAGGAGTCCTACTCAAGGAGATGCAGTTGTGGATCAATCCACTAGAGGGCATGTTTCTCAGTGCCTGACTAAAGTCCAGGCAAGAACTGATGAATTCTGACAAACCAATAGATGGAACAGGAGCCCTGCTTTCAGCAGAAAGGGATCTTAGCTAGGGACATGAGATCCAGGAGTTGGTTTTTAAAGATATTTTTAGTGTGTACATATGGTTGGGCACTCCAGAAGCAACTGAGGTGGGAGGTGGGGTATTTGGAAGAGAGAAAATCTTAGTGCTGGAGTGGCCCCAATAGGCTACAACCAGTGGGATCAGATCATTTTCTCTCCCCTAAGAGGTCATATGTGTATATTCTCTGGCTTTAAAGCCTCCAAATTGGGCAGAAAACAAGGAGTCAGAGCTCAAGATAGACCAGAACTCTGATGATTAGGCCGACAGTATGTAGCTCAGCAAAGGCTTTTGGCTTTGCACATAATTGGGCACTTGTTTCTGTGAAAGTGGCCCAGGAACCTCTGTTGTCATGACAACATACCTAGCACCCATTGTCTGGGCAATGGGGAGGGGCAAACTGCCTCTGTTGTCAGGGTCACAAGATCTCTATTTCCCCTGGGTGATCATTCTGCTGTAGAAGAAATGGGGTTAACAAACAAGAGTGAGGGAGAACAACACCTCACACCCAACAACTCTGATACACCCAACAACTCTGATGCACCCAATGAAGATCAAGGTGAAGAAATCCAACAGCCAGAAGAGGCAAGTAGTGGTTTTCAATTCCAGCTTAGCTATGGGGACCCTCTTATAATGCTTCTCTAGAAAGGCCCCAATGCCGGACTCTTGAATTCTTAACCACCAATCAATGTATGGCAACCTGGGGTACCTTCCTCCTGGGTGAGGGAAGAGCCAGGGAAAACCATTACTAATTCTCAAAGTAATCTCATATTGACTAAATTGACAAGGTTCTAATACTAGCTAACATTTTTTTCAGTGTTTACTATGTGCCAGGCACTGTTTCATGCTCTTTTTTTTTAATTTATTTATCCCATGATAAATTATTTCAGTAGTTTCCCAAGGAGACAATATCTCTGTGTCTCTCATTTACCTCGATAGCTTTTTAAAAAACATTTTATTTTTAAGTGATCCCTATACCCAATGTGAGGCTTGAACTCATGATCCTGATATCAAGAGTCACATGCTCTTTTTTTAAAAGAGAGAGAGACAGTGAGAGCAGGGGAGGGGCAGAGAGAGGGAGAGAGAATCCCAAGTAGGCTCTGCACTGTCAGCACAGAGCCCACGAACTGCGAGGTCATGACCTGAGCCAAAACCAAGAGTCAGATGCTTAACTGATTGAGCCACCCAGGTGCCCCGAGAGTCACATGTTTTTCTGACTGAGCCAGCCAGGCACCCCTGTATGTCCATGCTCTTAATCACTCTACTAGACTGCTCTTACAGGGATTAACGTCTCATTGGACAGATAAAAAAATGGAATCAAAGAGGTTAAAATACTTAGCTTATCTGTGACCAGCCTAGGACTAGAATCCAGGGTTCCTGACTGCCTGTCTAGACCTTATAGCACTATGTTGGGTCTTGGTTTGTGGGAAGAGTAGTAGGTAGGAAGGAGTTCAAAGGAGAAAGGAAGTGGGCCCCTCTCTAGTTATATTTACCATACATTGGCGCCTCTGCCTTCTTTGAAGTCGCATGAATTCCTTATGCTGACGGGAGACAAAATTGACAGCAGCATACTCCAGCAGGGCAGCGAACACGAAGAGCAGGCACACAGCCATCCAGATGTCGATTGCCTTCACGTAGGACACCTGCAACATCCACCAACAGAACAGTCAACATTCTTGGAGCCCTTCCATGGTCTATCCAGTGGTTTGCCAGCCCATATCAACTGCCTGCTATTCTTCAGTTTTATCCTGAATTTCTCCTGGTTTTTAAAGAAGCTTTCCACGATATGTCCCATTGCCTGAAGGCCCTTGTGAAAGAGATCGGGCTACCCATCATCCTTTACTTCTCTGCACTCTCCACCCTCCACTTCCATCTCCCTTTCCTCCCTACACTTCTTTTCCTTTCTTTTATTCCTTTGTCACTTCTGCTTCTGTTCCTGTTTATTATTCTTTTCATTATTATCTTCTTCTGATTCTCTTCTTTCAATAAACAGCAATGAACATGAACACTGCTTTTGTTTGCCCTCTGTTAATCTCCTAGGGTTCTCACAGCTCTGATGGAAATTGGGCACGGTTTGTTATTCCCGTGTGAGACGTGTGAGGACACTTGAGGCCTAAAGAGGAAAAGTCTTAGCCAAGATTACCCAGTGAGAAGTTGGCACTAGGATTTGGGGGTTCTGGGCTTTCAGTTCAGCGTCACTGCTATTCATCGAGGCTACAGTCTCAATATCAGACTAGGAATTCCTTCCTTTCCCTCCTCTACCCCCATTATTCTCTTAACCCTGTGTTTTTTTTCTTCTGCTCTTTATGAGAGGACCTGCTACACCTGTTGGGATGAGCACTGGGTGTTGTATGGAAACCAATTTGACAATAAATTATATTTAATATAAAAAATAATAATAAAAAAAGAGAGGCCCTCCTAAAGAATTGAGCTCGGTGGCCCAAGGGAATGCCACTCAACCCCCAGCTATAGACACTTCTTTAATTTCAAGGTGCTGTCGGCATTTACCTTTCTGGTTCTTAGTGCTCTCCTCTCACTACCTGCCTTGGAAGCCTTTAAGTACTTTTCTCTTCCATTTCCCTTGTGAAGATTGAACACTTACCTCTCCTGGAATGCGGTTATGGCTGAGTGGGGCCAGGAGAGGTACAGAACTTAGGTTTATGAAGTCCTTTCACCTCCTCAACCAGATGAACCCCCTACATAGTTTTGAGCTGCTGAGCCCACCTCATGGGAGTCCCCAGTTGGAGTAGGATTCATGACAGACAACCTCTTTTACCAGCTATTTTGGGCAGTGAGGGTGCTACAGGCTCCAGGTAAGGAGCAGGTCTCACTGGATAAACCTTCTACCGTAGTGGTTCTTGTGATGCCAC